AGGGTGGTCCCGAGATGAAGGCTCTTCAGTGTGTCACTCATACTGCTTGTTATGGCCACCACTGTCAGCTAGTTATGGCCCCAAGGAAGAGTTGATGGTAATGTCTCCTTCTGATTCTCCTTCTGCAGATCAACAAGGAGAACATGGAGAGGGCTCTGAGCCCCGAGATCCTGTCATCTGACCTGGCTCTCTACTTGGTTCACAAAGGAGTAAGTGTCAGGGGGAGACTGGAAGCTGTGATTTCTTTGGATGGAGAATACTGCTCAGCGAAGGCCTGAGATGAGGCCTTGTGTTCTGTTCCCAGGTGATGATCAGCCTGGGTGAACAAACACGAAGGCTGGAAACCTATTCTTTACATGTATCCCAAGTAGTGGAACTGCTGCCGGGTGGACTTGATAGTAATTTACAGGTGGAGTTTTAGCTACTAACTCCTCCCCTCTTTACACCCCAGAAAACCCGGATAGAGATTGCGTAGCCCTAGGTGAAAACAAGCCAACCAAAAAAGAGAGCACATCCATTTTTTTTTCCTTTGGAAAACACCCCATTGCCTGGTCACTGACTGTGGCTTCTGGTTCTTACTGCAGATGCCGTTCAGACAAGCCCACATTGACACTGGAAAGGCCGTCCACCTCGCTGAGTCTAAAGGCATCCCCATCAATAATCTCAGCCTGGATGACCTGAAGAGCATCAGGTTTGTATCACTCTTACCATGACTTCCCTCAACAGGCAGGTATCAATCAGCCTCCCTTCATATGGGCTTCCTTATGATGCCCTTTCCTAAATTGCCTGGGCCAGACAACACCCCAAAATCAACGCTGTTACTGCTGGCCCTCACAACACAGGATGGGGTCAACACAACCACTCACCTGCAGCAGGCCATGGGCAGCAGCTATTGGGAGGGACAGGATGAAACTCATGCCCTGACCTGGAGGCACCAGCCCTCCACAAGAGTTTGGCTCCAGACTTCTGCCTGTGGAGCTGACTCTTCGGTCTGCCACAAGCAGCTACTCTCAGGCACTACAAGTGCAGAAGCAGGGCTGCACGAAGCCCTTCCCCTTCCAAAAAGGCTCCACGTTCACTCCTTCACCACCTCCACAGGCAGCGAGCACCTAAAGCCAGGCAACAGCACCCAGTGCTCTCCACTGACACTCTTCTCTTTGCCTCCCCAGCCCCCTGTTTGGCAGCGACGTCTCCCAGGTCTTCAACTTCTTCAACAGTGTGGAGCAGTACACGGCCATGGGTGGCACTGCCAAGAGCAGCGTGAGCGCCCAGATCGATCACCTGAGGGAGCTGCTCAAGAGGCTGAAGGAACAGGCTTAGAGTGTGGGGAGAGATCCCGTGGATGCAGCGTTGTGCCTATATCACTAATCTGGAGTTAATAAACACTGTGGTGTATGTAGTTCACTGAAACTCCTGTCTTGTGTCTTCCTTCTTAGGGGTATGACTAAGTTGGGCTTTCTCAGCCCTTGTGAGGTCTGGGGAAATGTTCAGTGCTGTGAAAGAACATGGGCCTGTGGCCTCCCCTCCCTGGCAGTGGAGCTGGGTTATGGGGTGTTCAAGGTCTCAGGGGCTGGTACATTGAGAGCAGCAGGAGTGAGGAACCTGAAAATGTGTCTCTTGAAATGAAGGGTGGTGGACTAGGGAATTGAGTGTTCCTTTGTATCTGATGCTGGTGAGACCGCACCTTGAATCCTGTGTTCATTTTGGGCTGCTCACTCTAAGAAAGACATTGAGGTGCTGGGGTATGTCCAGAGAAGGGCAACAGAGCTGGAGGAGGGCCTGGTGCATAGGTCTGATGGGGAACAGCTGAGGGAAAGCGGGGGACTCAGGGGCAACCTTATTGCTCTCTACACCTACCTGATAGGAGGCTGTAGTGAGGTGGGAGTCCATCTCTTCTCCCAGGTAACAAGTGACAGTACAAAAGGAAATTGTCTCAAGCTGCACCAGGGGAGGATATTAGGAAAAATTTCTTCCCCAGAAGAGTTGTCAAGCACTGGAACAGGCCTATGCTGATTCCAGCTGGGATAGAGTTAATTTGCTTCCCAGTAGCTGGTACAGAGCTGTGTTTCAGCTTTAGCCTGAGAACAACGCTGGTTACACACCAGTGTTTTAGTTGTTGCTAAGCAATGGTTACCCCGATCAAGGGCTTTGCAGAGCCTCAGGCTCTGCCATGAGGAGGGGCACAAGGAGCCAGGAGGGAGCAGAGACAGGACACATGACCCAAACTGGCCAAAGGGGTATTCCAAACACAGCACGTCATGGCCAGTAGAGAAACTGGGGGAGTCACCCAGAAGGACCCGATCGCTGCTCGGGTCCGGCGGGTATCGGTCAGCGGGCAGCGAGCAATTGTATTGTGCATCGCTTGGGTTTATTGTTTTTCCTTTTCCCTTTTAGTTGTA